CTATTTATTATGATCCTGATCCTCAAAATACAGTTATTAGAGAAGACCAAGAGTTTGTAAATGTTTATTATGAAATGCCTGATTTTGATCCTACACGAATTTCTCCATGGTTGTTGCGAATTGAATTAGATAGAAAAAGAATGACTGGTATGTAATGAAACTAAWCTTATTTTTGATTAAAAATAATGAATTATATATTTATCAATTATTTTAGATAAAAAATTGACTATGGAAGCTATATCTGAAAAGATCAATGCAGGATTTGGAGATGACCTCAATTGTATATTCAATGATGACAACGCTGACAAGTTAATTTTACGTATACGTATAATGAATGGTGAAGATGGTAAAATGAATGGTGGTGATGATGAAGATACTGTTGATAAAATGGAAGATGATATGTTCCTGAGATGTATTGAAGCTAACATGTTATCTGATATGACTTTACAAGTGAGTATTCGCTTAATAGTAAATAATCAAAATATTTTTAACAAAATATCAACTTTATTATGTAATTTTTGTAAATAATTTAATTTATAGGGTATTGATTCTATTGGAAAAGTGTATATGCATTTACCACAAACAGATTCTAAAAAAAGAATAATTATTACGGAAACTGGGGAATTTAAGGCAATTGCTGATTGGTTGTTAGAAACTGATGGTACAAGTTTGATGAAAGTCTTGAGTGAAAGAGATGTTGATCCTGTTAGAACATTCTCCAATGACATTTGTGAAATATTTTCGGTAAACTTTTTTACTAATTTATTAATTAATAACCATGTTAATAAACAATAAATATTAATTATATCTTTAATTTCAGGTTTTGGGTATTGAAGCTGTACGTAAGTCAGTTGAAAAAGAAATGAATACTGTGTTGCAGTTCTATGGTTTATACGTAAATTATCGTCATTTAGCATTATTGTGTGATGTTATGACAGCCAAAGGCCATTTAATGGCCATTACTAGACATGGTATAAATAGACAAGATACAGGAGCATTAATGAGGTAAATATTTGTGACACATTTTTATTTATCAATTATAATTTAAAATTTGTATTTCTTAAGAATATGATAATTAAATATTTGCAGATGCTCGTTTGAAGAAACAGTCGATGTTTTATTAGATGCTGCTTCTCATGCTGAAGTTGACCCTATGAGAGGTGTATCTGAAAACATTATTATGGGACAATTGCCTAGAATGGGAACAGGTGAATATTATATTTATATTTATTAGAAATACCTAATAGTGACATCAACATTTATAATTGTTTTGCAATTAACAATACAAAATATTTGTTTGTAATCCCCAAAAATATCTTCCATATTTGGCTTTTTAAACGATTAAGGCCAGTTCTTACAATCAACCTATTAAAGTATTAACAATAGTTRACCGACAATTAGTGGGCAGAATGTCCTTGGTTTAGTGTCCATTTATTGTAACBAGACATTGTAAAAATTATAGAAACCTGCATAAAGAAGATAGATTAAAAATATAAACAAATATGTAAGTGTTTGTCACTGAATAAAACCCTGTATAACACTATTATAATTAAATTACTTGTATGTAAKAAATCTATTTATTTCTATATAATATATTAACTTATATTTAATTATAAATTTTGTTTTGTACAATTTATGATTGGTGACTCTTAGATTTTGTTGATAATCATTAAGATTTACTGATAGAATAATATAAATTTTAGAATATAGGTGACCCTGTTTTGATAGAAATCTTTTTCAATAACCTCAATTTATAATTTTCTCGTTATTTCTCTTTTATAATTATATTGTATTAATTTGTGTATAATAATTATTTACTTACAATATATTAAAATTAAAATTTATTAGCAACAATTATTTTAATTAAATCGATTCTGCTTAAAATTACAAAAATTGATGCTGTTAATTTTATAGTTTATTTTGTAATGCATTAACATACAGTAAATATATGTGAATATAGTTTTTAGTAAAAATATTAAATGTTGATTATTTTTGTATAGGTTGTTTCGATTTGCTTTTGGATGCTGAAAAAGCCAAAGATGGTATAGAAATTCCAATGGATAATGGTTATATGGGTATGGGTGGCGGTGGCATGTTCATGGCTGCTGGCACGCCTTCTATGTCACCAGCTATGACTCCATGGGATCAAACATCCACACCAATTTATCAAAATAGTTGGTCTTCAAGTATGGCACATAAAATTATAAAGTTTTTTTTTTTTTTAATTTTCTTATCATCAATTATTTCATTTAGGCTTGGAAACTGGCATGACTCCTGGAGGACCTGGCTTTTCACCAGCAGGTTCAAGTGAAGCTAGTGGAACTTCTCCATTCTGGATGTCATCTGGAGGAACTCCAGGCAGTCCTGGATCTCCAAGCATGGCCACTAGTCCATATGTGCCTAGCCCTAGTTCCATGTCACCAAACTATAATTATCCTTCTAGCCCACAGTTTGGTTCTTTATCACCTTCTATGACTCCTACTAATTATTCACCAACAAGTCCACAATACTCTGCTACCCAACAAAATACTCCAAAATACTCTTCAATGTCTCCTAATTACAATTATTCCCCAACAAGCCCATCATACTCACCGACTAGCCCTTCATACTCTCATACTTCATATTCTCCAACAAGTCCTTCGTAAGTATTTTTAAACTACATTCACCTTAAATTAACTATATCAATACATTTCAATTAATTAACTTTTATTTAATTTTCTATGTTTAGCTACAGCCCAACATCTCCTTCGTACAGCCCTACATCTCCGTCTTACAGTCCAACATCTCCATCGTATAGTCCAACGTCTCCATCATATAGCCCAACATCTCCGTCGTAAGTACAATTTTAAATTWAAAAAAAAAATTATTTTTACGGATTTTTAAATCTGTTGCATTTTATATAAACATGAGTTGAACTGTAATTATTGTTTTTTATTTTACAGATATAGCCCTACCAGTCCGTCATATAGCCCTACGTCTCCATCTTACAGTCCAACATCACCATCATACAGTCCAACTTCACCATCGTAAGTTCCTTAAAGTTGAATTAATTACTTATCATATAATTTATTTTAAAAATGTCGTTAACTCATAACCCAAAATTGTATATTTATAATTTATAAAAAAATGTATAATTATTAGAGAAATTCTAAATCTTTGATAATTCATATATTTAAACAATTATGTTTTAAAAAATTTTTTTAGATCAATTGATATTTTTTCTAATTTTTATAATAAAAAAATGTATAATTATTAGAGAAATTCTAAATCTTTGATAATTCATATATTTAAACAATTATGTTTTAAAAAATTTTTTTAGATCAATTGATATTTTTTCTAATTTTTATAATAAAAAAATGTATAATTATTCTAAAAATTGTTTTGTTTGCAATTTATATTATAGTATAGCCATCCTTCTAATGAAAATGATTAGCAAATAATTAATTCCTACCTATTGTAATAGACAGTTATAAACTAAAATATTAATATGATAAAAAACATTTTAAATTTATATATTTATTTTATTACTAAAGACATAATTTTAAATATCATTATTATCTTATAGGTACAGCCCTACATCGCCGTCGTACAGTCCAACATCACCTTCTTACAGTCCAAGCTCTCCACAATATGCAGCTTCTTCGCCATCATATACACCTAGTGCTGCATCTGGGACAAGCAATTACAAATATTCACCTACTTCGCCTTCACTGGCTGTCAGTCCTACATACTCCCCTACCAGTCCAATGTACTCGCCTTCAAATGCTTCTTATTCTCCATCTTCTCTACAGCATACACCAAATGCTGGAGGTACACAATACAATCAGTCATATAGTCCAAGTTCGCCTGTTTATTCACCTACCAATTTCTCCATGGCAAGTCCAAGGTAAGCGAAATAGTTTTCTCTCTCAAATAAACCTGTTGTTCTTAAAAATTTTATTTTAGGTATTCTCCTACTTCGCCAACTTATTCACCTGGTGTTGGAAGTCCGCATTATTCTCCATCATCGCCGAGTTATTCGCCAACGTCTCCAAATTATAGTGGACCAGATGAGTCTTAAGAAAATATATTTATTTTTTTATATTTTCTTATTTATTTTTTTTTAATTATTGGACAGAAGGTATACTAAATAATTYGCCAACGTCTCCAAATTATAGTGGACCAGATGAGTCTTAAGAAAATATATTTATTATTTTTATATTTTCTTATT